CCGGCGCCTGGTTTTCACAGCACCTTTTCGGCACATCTTGGCCCATTTAACAGCATAGGACAAAATTTACACTACAAAATTTACACTCAAAAGTGTAATTTTCTACACCACATTTTTGTAGTATAAAAAATTATACCACGTTTCGCGTGTAAAAACTTTGCGCGTGTAAAATTACACGCGAATGATCTATCAGGGACGATTCGTATTTTTAAAAGGCTTTTGGGTTTTCTGGGGTCTCACCTGGCGGGAGGCTACCTCCCTTGTGAGGAGGCTGCGCTGCAGTGGGCCGCTTAACCTGGCCTTCTTTTACCTTCTCTGCGCCTCCGAGTACCTTGACGCAGGATACGTCGGCGTTGAGAGGGGCCTTCGGGTCGCGACCTTTCCCTCACCGAAGAGGGGCGACCCGTCCGCCTGTCTGAAATCCGGCGGGCAGATGAACTCACCCTCTTTACCGGGCGGGTGCGAAGGAGAGGGAACCTCTGCAGAGAGCTCCAAAGGGCCGGCGGTAACACCGTCTAGAGCCCCTACTTTTTGGCCCGCTCGGGTTCTACGACCCCGAGACTTCGGCTCAGCTTTGGCCTTAGCTTGGGCGTCGGCCGGAGGATTCTCGCTAAGTCTCGCCCCCTCAACCACGTTCTCCTCGTTTTTGGCGATGGCCGCATCAACGTTGTTGGTCTTGGGCCTCGTTTTCAGGTCCTACGAGATCTGGCTGTTCGTAGGGCGCGCGTGGGGGCACTTGCCTTGAGCACAGCGCGGTGGGAGATGTGATCCCAGCAGAGAAAGGTGCCCGTATCCCTCGGTGGTCCAGGCTTCCTTCATGGTGGGGGGCCCCGTAGGCGGTGCGTTCTGTCGTATCCTTGCCCACTTTCGCGGGTGCTTCCGGCCGGGGCGTGGAGCGGTAGTGGAAGCAAGGCCCTGAGACTTCAGGGCTTGTTGCCAGCAGCTCCTCGTCAGGGCTCTGTCTTGCCGGGGTAAAATGTATGGAAAATTTCTCATGAAAGTCCAGGTTTGAAGGTACGTGGAAGCCGGGTCTCCGCTCGTCTGGCGACGTAGCAAAGAACCTGACCCGCTCGAAGTTGGGGCTCTCTTCTCCCATGAGACGGCGAAGTTCTCGATCGATCTGCCGCATTTCCTTGATCATGCAGGCCCAGAGCTCTTCCCAGACGCCCATCAGCCATGGGAGGGGCCACGCGTAGCTGTAGCAGCTTCGTCTCCCTGATGCTCGGCCGCGAAGACGCAGGCAAAAGTTCAGGAGACCTGAACCAGGCAGTGAGCGTAGCCGGGTGCCGGGGCTTCTTCTCGAGGTGCACAAACGTGTCAAACTCTTCTTCGCTAGCAAGGGGGAAATCGGCGACATTCAGACAGTGGTCTGGGAGGCTTTTGACATCGCGACCCCCAGTGAATGGAAAGGGAGGCGAAGCCGTAGGCTATCTGGTTGGAGATATTCACAGGGAACTGGACGGCCCTCATTTGAGGACGTCCTTGTGCACCCGCAGTTTTCAGGGCGTGAAACAGTTCCTTCCCCACACCCGCTGTCTGCGACCCACATTAGAAAGTTAAGCCACAGAACAAAGAACCAATGGGCCCGGCCGCCGTCAGACTGGTAGTCTCCAGAAGGGGAGCTGGTATTGAGCCATCCTAAAGCCAGGCCCGTTCCCAAGCCGGGCGCCCACGCCACGGCTCTCGGGAGGACTGGGGCTCCAAAAGAGGTAGACGCGAATGCCCCCACAGAATCCGACTCCAGTTGTAGGTGGTTTCAGGAGCGGCCAGGTTTGCCGCCATCACTACTACTACACGCAGTAGGACCTTCATGAGACCTGCGATGACATAGTCACGCGATGTCCAAAGCAACATCCATCAAATGTCGTCACTTTGGCTCCGCTGCTGTTTATCATCGTTTTACACTGCTCAGACGTCTGCACTCTTTCATGACCAGGCAATTCGAACACAACACGGAGCCCACTCTTGGCGACCTTAGCTGCCACGAGGCCCAAGTCCCCGTAGGGGTACTCGGGTGACTCACATCGGGGTTCATCCCGTGCTCCAGGATGCTTGTCCAGCCATGAAGAAACACCGACAGCGCCAGATCCGATGTACACAAGATCATTTTCTTTGGATATACATTTCTCGATTACTCGCTGATAATATCCCGAGGTAGACCCGGACAATTTGGATCCAGAGCACACTATTTGAACCTCGTCCGGTACGAATTCGTTCCACCAGTTTTCCTCATCGACTCCTGCTAACACCCATAACGGCTTGACCAAGTCAGCTTCCCATATGGTGATCTCAGCTGCAAGTTCTGGATCTAATGAAGCTCCAAGCACGCCGCCTTGAGCATCGTCCAGGATTTTGGCCGACTCGTAGGTGTATAGCACTTTGCCATCGGCATTACAGAACTTGATAACGGGAGGTTCACGAGTTGTTTTCACTTGTACTTTGGCAGGAATGTAAGGCACATCACCAGACAAGTTGCGCTTCCCTCTCTTTCGGTCGACATCAACACGGATAGCCAAGCTTTGACAGAGACAGCTCCAAAACCATGGGATGTTCATGTCCACATTACGTTCGAAAATGTCATAAATCTGTCCCACACTCCCCCCATGGATGGCGCGCGCAAGCGCGGCAACCACCCTTTGTAGGGACACGTCACAGTGATGAACAGGAAGCACACCGACATGTAACGCGGGCACCGTAGGTGACACCGCCGCTGGCGCAGAAGGAAGGCGAGCACGTTGGAAGTGATACTGGAATACAGCACGCTCCACATAGCGGTCAAATTGTTGGCGATGTTCAGGAATGTCAACATGATCCTCAAGACGCGTCCACTTGCCTTCACGCAGCACCCACGTGGAACGCTGGTAACGACCCGGCGGAATAGCGGCCGGCGGCGGGCGTAACACGCGAGGAAACTTGACGACCACGATGGGATCACACCCATCGACCTCCTGCAAGCCTTCCTTGCTGGAAAGGCCCGCCCGATAAAGTTCTTCAGGCAATATCGGGGTTTCGGTATATGGAAAGCACGGGGTCTGATTCCGGTAGTTGTGAACACGTTGGCTTTTGCCCTTGGCATCCGCCACCTGGTCATGCGTCGGCTTCATCATGTCCATGATCTCAACCGTGTGAAGCTGTTCAGGAGGGAAAATGCTAATGAGCTGGCACGCATGCGCCCATGATACACCATCTTTGAACGCTTTAGTGTGGATGTCGGCCGCCATCTTTGCGGTGACCTCGTACGCCAGACCCACATAACCCTCCTGAAACACCTCATGCATCCACACAATGCAAATGCCATGAGACCGTTCTAGGTGACGCATAGTTGGATTCTTACCCGTGCGCACGACGCCAATCATATCCGCCGCGGACAGCAGTTTCCACAAGGTAATGGCCGGTAAACCGATTCGAGACATAGCATGGTCAGCGGCGACGATTTCAGCCTCTGGAGTAGAGTGGCTGACGCAACCTTGACGTTTACTAATCCCGGCCAGAGGAAAACGGGTATGACTACCCTGTGTGTGCATGTGCGCACCTGAGGTAGACCGGAGGCTCTCGCCACAACCAGCATAGTCGGCGTCTGCAAACAGACCGATGGAAAGGTCCTTCAGGCTGTTGCCTACCCACCCAATCATCTTATGATGTTTGGTGTGATGAACGTAGCTGATCAAGTGGAGAAGCCCGGCATCCTCTTTGACGGACCACTTAGTGATCTTGCGAGCAAGGTTATTGATGGAACGAAGCAGGTCGAAGCGGCATACGATGGCCACCTGGAAGCGTGCTTCGTGAGCTTCTTGCGCCGCCCTGGCAAGCTGATCCTGCAGCTGTGTAATTAAAGCCTGAAAGTTGCTCAAGGGACACCCGAGTATTGGTCAACGAGCAAGTGAGATCCACAAGATCACCGTGCAGTGCGTTAACCAGACGCACTGAGGCCAGTTCCTTGGAGCCCATGCAGAGACACTCAGCTACGAACTGGTGTTACAAGGCCAGGGGGGGGTCTCACTAGATGTCAAAAGGAGCCACTAGAGCGCCTTGAAAATTTTGGTCTTCACCTTGAGCCAAAATGGATTTTTGGGTTGCGGTGGGTGGGTGAAAAATTTTGGTCTTCACCTTGAGCATGATCACATGCACAACCCCGTCATGTCATGCTCACATGTACAACCCAAATCAGCATGGTCACATGCCAAAAAATAAACTTCAAGTTTCATGAGTCGTACATGAAACACCATGCAAAACAAAACCTTCCCACGCTTGTTACAGCAAGAGTTTTTTATTTTGCGCGGACAAATTTCACTAATTTCTCTCCAAGAGAAATTTTGCTGAGCAAATAAAACACCGATCCCTCCGGGAGTGGTGAACTTGGGCCCTCCCAGAAACGGGACGGTGACCGGCACAGGGAGCGGGTGAGGAGCCTCCGTCGTCAGAGGTCTGGCCCCTGTGCTTGTGAAGTGCAGGAAGAGGTTGGCGGGGCCGCCACAACAACTGCCGTCTCTAGCTACGTCCCTTTGAGCCGCCCAAAAAACCCCTTTTTAGCCAACCCTGGGAAAGCAAGCTAAGAAGGAAGCCCTCAACCTTTTTAAGATTAGTAAGACCCCTTTTTTCGATAAGCTCGTCGGGAGAATCGTCTCTCGTGCGTACGGATATACGCGAAGTGGACGCGAAACCCGTAAACGGCCTCCAAGACGGTGAGCAGTTGGAGGAGGAGCGCGGGGACCGCACGATACGTGCGCCGTCGGCGGAGCCAAGCGCCAACCGTCTGGTTGTCGCCCGCGTAGGCAACCAGCCGTCCCCTCCACAAGGGACCCTGCGAGGCGGCCAAAGCGACTACGGCCAGGAGTTCCGTAACGGAGACGATGAAGCCGGGCTCGAAAGCGAGGTCCAGGTAGCGCTGGACTTCTATTGCGCTCTCCCTTGGGATGTTCGCATCCCACTCCTTGTCTTTCGGGAGCTTGTTCAAGATCAGCTTGAGCACGGGGTCGTCTGGGACAACGTCGAAGCCTGGTACATGGCCGATAAACAAACAAGAAAGGAGACCTCCTAAGCTCTAATGTTTAATCGAAAGCAACAACTTATGCGTGGCCTACATAAGGAGGTCTCCTGGAGAGATACGACACTTTCAAAATGCATTAAAACTAGAGTTTAACATGCATAGAAAAAATACTGACCTAGCAACGGCTGCACCACCCGCCGACCCCTGTAGCGGTCTCCGTCTCTGTGCGACCCACCGACGTTGTCGCACTGGCGGACCACTTCTTGCAGGACTTGTCCTGCTCCCGCAACTCCAGCATCTTGGTCTTCTCGGAGGAGAACTGTCGTCGAAGCTAACCTTTGTCTGGAGGTCCTTAAGCAAGTTCTCGTCCACCTCACCACCTTCGGCCTTTTTAGTCTCCAACTCCTTGCACTTTTTGCGTGCATTCGCAAGCTGAGTGACCATGTTGGCCTGAGACTTTCTTTTGTTGTCCGTGGCTGAGTTCTTGCCGGGGTTCTTCTTGGCCTGCCATTGCGTGGACAGAGACTAAGGGTGGGGCGCAGCAACTAAGATATCAAATCCCAACACTGCGCCGTGTACTCATGGCAGCATGCCTGCACGGCACGCACACAAGTCCCAAGGGCAGCAGCAAAACCAGCAACAGCAGGGGGGGGAGGGTGCACCTGCTTCTCGAAAGTAGATGTCCAGTCCTGCCAAAAATGTAATATAGTTTACATTATGTCTACCTGAAATAGGCACATGGTTCAAAAGGAGAAAAACTTGATGTTAATACATACTGCATACTCTTTGACTACATCAGTGAACCTTCACTCGTCTCGCACATAAAGGCCTACAAATAGTTTAGGGGCATAGGGCAGAGGGTGGGCTTGGGGTTGAGGGTTTAGGGGTTTAGGGTTCAGGGTTTGAGGTCTTGGGTTTAAAGTTCAACGATGAAGGGTCAGGGTGTAGGGCTTAGGGAACATGAGATATTTGGAGGTCTGGGGTTTAGGTTAGAGAGTGTAGGCTTCAGGATTCAAGGTTTAGGGTTGAGGCTTGAGGGTCAAGATTACAGGGATCAGGGTTCAGGGCTTGGGGCTAAGTGTTTTGGGAGTCCTTGAAGCTACAAGTCAGACCCAACTTACAGATTATGCCTATGAGATGCTAGTTAAATTTAACATCAATTTAACTTTGATTTAACATTGGATTTCCTGTTAAATATAAAGGAAATGCAATGTGAAATTCAAGTTAAATCAATGTTAAATTTAACTTTCCTTTAACATTACAGGTACTAGTCTTACTGTGGATTTTAATACTTTTCCATTCATATGTTTGTTACACGCAGAAACATTGCAAGGTTCCAGTTCACTGCATAATGTTTGGAGAAAAGATGTAGGGTCAATTTGAAGTATGTGGTACTGTACTATGATGCTCAAGGAAGAAGAACCCAGATTTGCGCCTTGGCATAGATGCGCAGAGAAGAATCTTCACCTGACGATTCACACAGAGCAAACACAATGTTATTACTGCAAGCAGGATCCTTGTGGCGGATACGGAAAGGGCGGCATGCCTTGAGGTGGCGGCATTTGGGGTGGAAACGGATATGGAGGAACTGCTTGTGGGTATTGTCCAGGAAGCCACGGGTTTGGCATCGGCGCCCCTTGCCCATTAGGCACAAGTGAACATCCACAGCCCATGTTTGGCAGGGATACAGACAATGCAATCACACTCAATTGCTTGAGCTAGTGAAGGCTACATGCATCTGAAAAGTCACGTTTATCTGCACAAAAACAGAGACAGGCCGAAGCATCCCCAGTCCTGACGAAGAGGTCGTACTCGCCGAGAGGAGGATCCACACCTGCGAGGGGCAAACTTCAGGTTAGTCCTACACTAGTTAGGTCGGCTCACACAGCAGCAAACAACTAAGTGAACCTAGAGGAGGCTGCAGAGCAGCCTCCTAAGGAGGCCCACCGGCCTCCTAATACTTTCACGGTCCAGCATTTAGATATCTATATCTATATATATATACGGCTATTATAAAAATAAAGACTACGCCACATATACGAAAATCGTACATCTCCACGTTTCTCAGCAACAGGCCCAGGCCTCGGGCTGCAAAGCTAGATCCCTCGTAAACTTAAGGGCTTATAAGGGTACAATAGTAGTTCTTTACTGTTTCCTCACGCAGAGCCAAAGGAGCACCTGCGCAGGCAGCACTCACAGAGCATTTTGGGAACTGCAAGGGGCACAGAGCAGGTAGGCCGGGATCGGAAACAATCCAGCTTGTTAATTAATACGTAACGGAGTACACTCCAGGAAACGGCACGTGGCTAAAACTACTGACGCCGATCCAGAACACGCTGCGCCTCCTGGCAAGCAGCCTTAACATCACGGTTGCACGGGCGCCACGTCTGCCCGGCGCGAATCTGCTCGTGCATCCGTTCCATTCTCTCAAGCGCCTGCGTTACCTCTTCATTGTGCGGCAACGGAGTGGCCCGGAGACCATCCGCCAGCAGCTTCGTGCGATTGAAGAACTTGTATTCCGGCTTGGACATCTTCGCATAGTCCAGCATGTCAGGATTGGAATTCCTGCTGGTCTTGGGCTCGGCCTGCAGGAAAACCACGGAATTCCCGCTGCTCTGGGACTCGCTCACCGGCTCACCCACGATATCCACAAAGAAGATCTCCGCATCATTATCAGCGGCCGTCTTCTGTTTCTTGAAGAGGTGAGGCAGCGTGTGGCAGGCATACTCCTGCAAATAACTGTCCACCAAAAAAACATAACCAATGAAAATCAAAAGACAAAAATTCACGCGCACCCTGTCTCCTCATTCCCCAGCTGCAGAGAAACTTCACCCTCGGCTCGACGCTTCACCCAAGCGCGGCGAGCGAACATGTTCCACAGAGCGGCGAGCATTAGGAGGGCCGCAAACAATAGCAGCTGAGCAAAACTGATTTCAATTGCGGGAACGGGGCATGGATTGCAAGCACACTGTCCAGCTGCTGCATCCGGCCACATGTACAAAGCATGCTGCAAGCAAACCCCCAGTACGTGTTTGCCCACCTGGAGCGGCAAGCTAGCGCTTAAAGAATCTCGGCCCTGCGGGCAAGCAACAGACGCTTCAAAGCATCAAAGTCCAATTCATCTTCTCCTGATGAGCTTTGCTCATGGAACTAGGAATACTCACCAGTAGCTTCTTCTTGCCATCGCTTAGCTTGGCCTGTACATACGACTGTCCTGTGGCAGCCGTTTTAAAAACCACAACAGTTAACGCCGAAGAGGCATCTACAGCAACTACTGCAGCAGGCCCTGGCTCATCCACCACAGGCGCACGGTCCTCGTCACTCTCGCCAACCTCCACGGCATCAACATCAGGCGAGCGAGCTCGCTTGGATGCTTTGCTTGGTCTCTTCATAACCGCAGCCGGTCTCTTCATAGTCGTCCCCTCTCCGGCCATGCGAAGAAACAAGTTGGGCATCTCAGTCGTGATCTGCTCCTGGCCAAAAAACGCCACAATGAAGCCCTTGTCCCTGAACTGGATGGAGCTTGTCCGCTACTTCAACTCCATCAGCGCCGGCGCGCCTCACCTGCGTGGCTGACCAATCCACCCAGCGCTCACGTACTTTCACAGGACTTCCTACGTGGATACCAAAACTTCGAGCTGACGCTTTCAGGGCCGCTTCCGTTGGACTGCGCCTCGACGACGAGGACGCGGGCTCCTCACCACTACTGATCTCAAAAGTCTGACAAGATGCTGGCCGCTTCTTGCCGCCGTCATTCCCCGACTTAGCAGGGCCGCTGGTACTCGGGGTTCTGGAACCGGATCTGGATGGAGCTGCAGCTGCAGTAGTGGCCCCTGATAGCACGTGGATAATTCGCTTCACTTCAGCTGGAGTTTTCGTGCCAGAACTGATGCTCTTGCGAACCTGTCTACAATGCGTCACACAGTCCACCCCAAGCCTGTGATAAAGCATTGGCATCTGCTTGACTGAGACGAAAAATCTCAGAGAGAGCAGGCGACAGTGTGCTCTTGTTCAGGCGAGGAGTCCAAGACAGAACTTCCACCAGCGCCGTTGGCCACCTGTTCCGGCTGAAAGACTCTATCCTTCAGCCAGCAATCAACAACTTCCACATCCAAGTGCGCACGAAGGATCCTTCCAATCTCACTTTGGGAGGCCGTGTTCTTGGCACGCTGCATGGACGCCATTGCTACGATCTTAAAAAAACACTAAACCTTCAAGCCATCCGAACATGGTCTTGCGCAAGATTCCGTGATGCGTGCACTTGCCAACTCTTCTATGCACTGCACACGTGCACAGATCCTGAACATGTTCCTGACACTGCGTGAAGGAGGATCATTCAAAGATCCTCCTGAAAAAATATCATCGACATCAACACACATCGGATAAATGAGTCTTGATTATTATGTCTCATTTAAGCCAACAATGTACCCTTAATTAAAAGGATTTAAACCAACAACAATCCTTCAATAAGGTGTTTTTAACACCCCTTAATTAAGGACTTAACACCTTAAATCGACTCATCGCTACAAACCTTAAATAGAGTTAAGGTGTTTTGGAAGATCTGGGCAGTCCTGAGGCAGTGGTCTGAATGCACCTGCGCAAACGTTGACGTAAACGATCTGCGACAGATCCCTGATTCCATGACCCCTGGCCTACAGATTTACACCCCTCACCCTGCACAAGGTAAACCTCTTCCAGCCCCATTTCATCCCCAAGTCCCTTAGGCAACTGACACTCCTCAGGCAACGTGCTCAAAATCTCATCATCCACGGGGGAGGCTGTCTGAGCCACACCTGCTGTCACATCCTTAGCACCACGACTGTTCGATGGAGGCTTTGCCACGTGGATATTCTGCCTTCCAATGTCCATGCTCGCCGCAAGTGCGGCAATTTGATCTGGCGATTCTCTGGAGAAGCGCCTCGCGGTCGCGCTCGCGACCTTTGCCCTTCCCTTTGTTGCCTTTTGCAGAGAAGCCCTTCTTCCCTGGACGAACCACTTCCTCCGGTGATTGGCCAAAACCCACGGGAGCGCTGCTTTTCGCGCAGCCGGTTGCGGGCTTCCAGATAAGACACCAGTGCCTGATGCAACTCGGGGGTCTCTTGAAAGAAGTCGGCCATCTCTCCTTCAAAATTGGATACCTGCATGGCATCCTGGTCGTCCTGTGCCACCAGTGCTTCGATATATTCGGAATCGAGATCAGCGTCCCAGTCATCATATTGCCCGACAATGAATGCTGGGGTGTCCGGCTGATTCTCTTCGATCTCCGAGGGCTGAGCGTCTGCGATGTTGGCGTCGTAGGTCTTGGTACGATTTCCGTTTCGATCACCCTGTAAGTCGCCAAACACTCGGGAACCCAACAAACGAACAGAGGACTTGATCTTAGCGAGATCCAGTTTTCCGCCACACTCCACCACGATCCGCTTCCGATCCTCCGTGGATAGGCCCGATTGACGAAGCAGCACGTATGACTGCACCTCATCGATCGTGGTTCCTTGGGCCCGAAGCTCCTCAAAGACCACGTCATGCCTAGCCAGGTAGCTATCATTGCTTTCGTCATGCTTCTGGACTGTCCCATAGATGGCCCTCTCAAAGAAATCATATTTGCGTTCTGTTCTGGATAGCCCCCAAGACCCACCAAGGGCAGAGACGATCAGCTCAACTCCTGTCTGATCATTCACTCTGAGCTTCTCAGGGTCCAGCAAGGAGACCTTCTTGAACGCTGTTCCCTCGCACAACAGTGCTAGACGAGGGGCCAAAAGTGACAAATGCTCCTTCGGCCAGATCTTGGCAATGAATTGCACTTTCTTCACGTATTCTGTTACATCAGTGACGCCAGGAATGAACTTCGGAATTGCAGTCCAGGGCAACTGTGTAACTGGCACCTCTTCAGCAGACATCTATTCAGCTGAGTGTTCGAATGGACTCCAGAAAAAGGTCTTCCTCCCTGGATCACCACTCTTTCCCACCAAAGATGGTAGGGAGCTCCAAGGCTCCGCTACCAGTGTGATTGGGCTCAGATCCCTATCACACTGGCAGCCGAGGCACCTGAAGTAACCGCCAAACCAACGAAATGCAGATGCCTCCGAAATGTATGTCTGATAAAGATGACGAATCCCTGAAGTAAAGAGCTGCCCCGCAGCTAATCTGAAGTGTTGTCCCTGCAGCCCGAGCGTCGCCCAATTCCTATGGCTTCAAGCACTCCCTCTGTCACTACCCACCTCGGCCGGAAATGGCCACGGAGACAAGACGTACACGGAGATGACCTGGAACGCTTTCACAACCCTAAACCCTAAGCCCTAAAATCCTAAGCCCTCAAGCCCCCAAAACCCTGAAACCCTTGAACCCTAAAGCCCTTAAACTCTGAAGCCCCCTAAACCCTGAAACCCCTAAACCCTTGACCCTGAAGCCCTGAACCCTAAACCTAAGCTCTAAAGCAAGCCTGCACCCTGAAGAAGTGTTGGAATGGGTGTGACTCTGAGCAAGAGTTTCATCCTTTTGGTGCTTGAATCGGCTCGTTTCGGTGCTTGAATCGGCTCGTTTTGGTGCTTCAGTCGGCCTTTGTTGGTGCTTGAATCGGGCCTTTTTTGGTGCGTGAATCGTTGGTGCGTGAATCGGGTAGTGCTTGAATCGTTGGTGCTTGAATCCTTGGTGCCTGAATCCTTGGTGCTTGAATCGTAGTGCTTGAATCGAGGTTGGTGCGTGAATCG